TTAGGTCTGCTGGGATCTATCAGTGGGTGGAAGACACTGTCACTGTTTATAATCTTCATAAGCCTGCATGGATGTGAATGACATATATTTAGAAATCAAAATAAAGCTTTAGGAAGATCTTCAATTTAATGGAAACTAGTCTAGTCATTTGGGAACCACAAGAGCTTTTTAGGGAAAATCTGCCTGTGCCAGCTGGAGGAAGTGTGGGTGTACTGGGGTCCCGGTGACACCTTGTGATGTCAGTCACCCCCAGCTGGAGGCTGATTGGCTGTGAAGAGCTGCAGCAGAGTTTAAATTCTTGCACCATCAGACAAAGGTTCAAATATCAACACCAGAGTGGCTTCATTGGGCATCGATTTCCTCTGTGAAAACGTCAACCTGCTTTTTGAGACTTTGGGGACTTTCGTGAACTAATGAGGGTAAGACATTTTCATCACTTAATTTTTTAAAATGACTTTTGCTGTGTTGTTTGGAAAATATTAAATATGGATACATGTCAAGAGGCATTATGCCATGTGAGAAAGAGGCATCATGCTGCAATTTGGGTAAAAATAAAAATGATTCCCATTTTTTTGCCTGTTGTCTATGCCACAGAAAATAATGATATTAAAATGACACATTAAGTCAATAGAGCCAGGTGTTCTTAGTAATGCTTTAATTAGATCTCTGCATGGTACTTCTGGAAGGGAAAGTTGATGGAACAGGAGGCAGATGGAAGGTCATCTTGAAGTTTAGTTTTAATTAGCAAAACAAACAAAACTTTACATTTAGCTTTGGTGGATGTGGAGAGTTCATTGCCTACAAGAAACTGTGAAAGAATCTAACCTAGACTGGCAGGACTTTCAAAATACTGTCTTTCAAATTAAAATCATTTAATGTTATTGATCTAGAGAGCATCCAGTAACATTCATTATGAACTGAATCAGTAATTGCAAAAAGATGCCAAGACCAAGGGTGTGATAATTATAATGTTTTTTGTATTGTTTAGCTAGATATATATGTTAGCATGATGCCTTGCGTACAATTAGAATTCAATACGTGTTGAACATAATTGTCTAAGACATTTTCTAGTGTAGAAGACTTAGGTGTGTGTATTCATACTCCCGTCCTTGTGGACTTTTATCTGCTGCATTTATTTCACTTCTTCATCTGTATTAGAGGTGTCTGTCTTCCACAACAGAGTGGGAACTGTGGTCAAGCTGTGCATTCTGCACGACATCTGGAAGATCCTATATGTAATAGCAATACTTCAGGCAACGTGTCTTCCTCAGGAGCAATGGCTTCTGGTTAACCAAACTTCCTATTTAACTGAGACTCAAGTAGACTATCCCACTTTAACCTTGTTGGTTAAAAACATGTGAACAAACAATTTTCTAAAGGGCTCTATTTCCCATACCGACCCCAAAATGGTAATGTCGGCCAAGGTGTCTTAGATGCTGAGAGACCTTCCCAATCTATATTTAATTGGGGGGCATCTCAGAGTCATTTTACTGTGGTTGAAGGCTATAATGTTGGATGATTGTAATTGACCTCAAGACAATTACAACAGGAAGGAGTAGAAATTTTTATTGGTCTTTGTTTGGTTCTCTGAATTTCTGATAGAGTTCACATCCTGGCCAAATTCTACTTTATTTTCGAAGAGTATCAATAAAAGAAATTCTAGCAGATTCTGGTTAGCTGGATTGTGGGTAATTTTATTTTTGTAAGACTGGCTTATTACTATTAATATTACACACCGTTGTATACTCAGCACCTAGAACAGTGCCTGGCATATCAGATATTCTCAATAAGTCTAAAAATAACTGTTAATGAATGAATATATTCTTCATTAGTATTCTTGAGGATAATAATACTAACACAAAAATAAGCAAATTAAGATTATAAATTGTTTTCCAAGGGAAATGAAGAGCCTATGATTTTTCAAACTTTTATTTCCTTCTTTTAGCCTATTTCTTTCATTTCAGTTTACATTAAAGAAGATATATACTTTACAAGTGAATCTTAACTTTGAGGAAATTTCAGAGAAGCTTTCCTTACTTGAGAACCCCCCAAAATTTTGGCTATACTTGAAATCTGGACTGCAATTCTCTTCTCCAGATACTGAACATTTGGATTTTTTCAACTCTGGGAAAACAATTCTGAAAGGCTGAAAGTGTCTAATACACTGCCTTCCAAACAGGGGGAACTCAGATCAAGACTGTTGATTTCCTTATGTAGAATGTAGTAATGACATTAACAAATCAAAGGGGAATGTGGGGTTCTGGACTCACAATTTCCAGGATTATAGCTATTTTGCTAACTTATTACTCAGAATATCTGCTTCTACTCTTTTTAGGATAGTAGCCAACAAATTTATAAAAGTTTGGAGCTCTCCTTTGGAAATATGCTTCACAAAAGTAAAATTATTCTTATCAAAGATACTAATTAAAACCTAATGGAGGGTTTAAGATGTGACATTCTTTAATGCTTAAGGTTGGACGATATTCTCTGGGAGGCAGCCTCAGCTCTCTCAGGACTCTAGAGTGTCTTTTATTTTAGTTTAGCAGACTTCCATTTGGGAAATTATTGCTTTAGGTCAGGGTGCTAAATGATATTTCTAGAAGCCTGAACAAGTTAGTGCATCCTCCCTGTGTTTCATAATATTGCATCCTTAAGAAACTTTAACACTGAAAGCACACATTTCCCTGGTAGAAAACACAATATTTATTGCTTTAGAATAAATGCACAGAGGCATCCCTTCATTTTTTAGTTGTTTAAATAAAAAAGAAGCTGAAGAAAATACAAGAGAACTCAACAGTCATTTGAGTTCAAGCCTTTGTCAAGGCTGTAATATTTGCTGGTTTTCAGAGCATTGAGATCAACACCCTGCTCAAATTTCACTTTGAAAATTAAAAGAATGAGCTGCCAAATTTTCATCAGATCTGTGAAGCTGAAACCATTGACATACAGTTATTTTGAGAATATCATATTTGGGAAAAGTTTGCTTTCCTTAAGAAATGAACCTAAGGGAAAAAAAAATGTTTTGATTGTGGAAACTAAAAGAAAGTAACATCTGTTGAACTGGACTTGTTTTAGGTGCTGTTGATCATTTTCATGTTTTTCTCTGTTTATATTAGGCAAAAGATTTGAAAAAGAAATTAAAATAATAACAAAACATAAAAACTGACATGCACTATGCTAAATTAGAATAAAGAAAATAACACAAATTAAGAATAGCTATGCTGAAGAGGGCTAATGCTCAAAATATGAAATGAGAGATATGAAAGCAGAAATGAGAAACCTTTTCAGTCTCCTTAACTTAGGATTTCTATTATTTTCTTGAATAAATTAAAGAAAGAAGATTAGATGACTTGTGGAGCCAAATGTTTTAGACATTATTCAGCATATTTCAGACATTATTGGACAAGATGTCCTTATTTTTTGGATCAAGGGTTAAAATCTCTTGGGACATGTTAAAAACCAACCTATTCCTGAGCCCACCCTCAGTGAACTGGTTTATTACTCTGAGATGGGATTTATGAATTAGGATTTTTAAAAATCTTCCCAGATGATACTAATAATATACAGCCTGAGCTGAGACTCTTTGGCTTATATCTCTTATCACTAGTTTAGCATGTATTTAACATTTAAAGAAACAAATCAACAAAAGTAAGTCAAATAAACTTGTGAGATTTTCTGGAAAATGTATGGAAGTCCCTCAGACAAGTATGTTAGGGCTGCCATATGGACTTATTAGTGCAGGGCAAATTGTTTTCCTTTAAATCATTTCAATAACTTTTTACATTAGCATCTAGTACATCTATTTTTAGATATAGAACAAATCATTTTCCAAATCAGTAGTCTTGAAGTGTGAAAAGAAGTAAGCTATCCTCCAGAAAAATAGTTTGATTTGGCATGCTTCTCTCAGCATGATTCACAAGTGAATACCAAACCTCTCATCTTCCCTGGGTCCTTCAGTACTCTGAATGACACCTAAGAATGTAGCATAATCATGTACAATGTATGACTAAATTAAATATCACAGTAGATTATTAAGAGCTCTTTGGAGCTAAGATTTGAAGACTGCCACACTGTATCTATTGCTGATCAAGGAGAAAATGAAAAGACAGTCTATTTTGTCTAGACATTATTATGTGGTTATAAATGTATGTGTGTGTGTATGTGTGAAGACAAATGCCCACCACATATCAATGGTGTCAATAAATGCAGTGTTTTAGGGAGAATAATTTGCCAGGTTGTCTTGCCATATGAAGCTGCATAATTGTTACACAAGTGAATGGCCAAAAATTTCTCCATTTCCCTTTATTTTTTCCTCTATTTATCATATTTTATGTGTCAGCAAAAAAGTGTTTATAGACCTCCTGTTGAAAAGTTTTTAATTTATCTTTTAGGAACGGGGATTTTTTAACAGCTTTATTGAAATTTAATCTACATCCTACGTACGTCACCCATTTGAAGTATATGGTTCAATGGTTTTCAGTATATTCACAGAATTGTGGTGAATCAGAACTATAAGAACACTACAATTGGTGTTCTTATAGTTCTATCTATACCACTATCCTTCACCACAATCAATTTTAGAACATTTTCATCACCTCCAAAAGAAATCCTGCACCTCTTAGCCACCATCCCTTACCCACCCCATCTTCCAAAACTCTGGGCAACCACTAGCTACTTTCTGTCTTTATAGATTTGCCTACTCTGGACATTTCATATAAATGGAATTATACAAAAGTTGTCTGGCTTCTTTCACTTAGAACAATGTTTTCAAGGTTCCTCTACTTTGTAGCATGTGTCAGTACCTCATTCCTTTTTATGGCTGAATAATATCCCATTGAATAGATAAAGTGTGTATTATTTATCCATTCACCAGTTGATGAATATTGTATGAGTTGTTTTTTAATAGGAATAGACTGTTAACAAGTTAAAGCTGCTTTACTTTTTCGCATGGAGAAGAACATCTATGTCCTTCATTACAGGTAGAGACATCACACCTGAGTATGAGGACCAGCATGCTGCTTGTGTTCTTTTGGGGGTTATCCTGCGCTCTCCCAGTAAGTCTCAGGGTGGGAATATAAGGGGGCAAAAAACCTTTTATACCTAAAACTCCACAATTTTCATTGGCTATGAAAGTGGCTATGTGTATTCCAGTCAGATGAAGATAATAATTTCTTTTTTTTTTTTCCTGACTGGTAAGGGGATTGCAACTCTTGGCACAGTGTGGTCTGCACCGCGCTCAGCCAGTGAGTGCACCAGCCATCCCCATATAGGATCCAAACCCACGGCCTTGGCGCTACCAGTGCCGCACTCTCCCGAGTGAGCCATGGGGCTGGCCCAAAGATAATAATTTCTTAGGAAGATGTTTTCTCTAAAATATCATCCAAGTTATGTCTTGTTCTGTTCAGCTGCCATTCCTATAGCTATATTTCTTATTTTTCTTCCCCATAAGTGGTGGTTCTCAAAGTGTCATTCCCAGACTAGTACTGTGAGCATCAACTAGGACTTTGTTAGAAATGCAAATTCTATGGGGCTGGCCCGGTGGTGCACTGGATAGTGCGCCGCTTGGGAAGCGCGGCAGCGCTCCCGTCCGAGGGTTTGGATCCCACGTACAGACCGGTTCCCGCTCACTGGCTGAGCGAGGCGTGGGAGCAACACCGAGGCTTGCGATCCCGTTGCCGGTCCCCGGTCCGGTACGGGGGCAACACTGAGGGTTGCGATCCGTTGCCGGACACGGAAAAAAGACAAAAGACAAAAAAAAAAAAAAAAAAAAAAAAAAAAATGCAAATTTTATGAATTTAGAATTTAGAATTTAGAGTCTAGAGAAGACTCTCTAGAGATGAGGCACAGCAATCTGTGTTTTTTTTTTTTTTTCCCTTTTTTTTTTTTTTTTTGTCTTTTGTCTTTTTTCCGTGTCCGGCAACGGATCGCAACCCTCAGTGTTGCGCCCGTACCGGACCGGGACCGGCAACGGGATCGCAACCCTCGGTGTTGCGCCAGCACCTCGCTCAGCCAGTGAGTGGCCGGTCTGTATGTGGGATCCGAACCCTCGGTGGGAGCGCCGCCGTGCTCCCAAGCGGCGCACTGTAGCAGTGCGCCACCGGGCTGGCCCAGCAATCTGTGTTTTAACAAGGCCTCCAGGTGATTCAGGTGCAGGCTAAAACTTGACTGCCTCTGCTCCTAAGTAGGTAAAGTGTTTGTATCTGCTGCCTCAGACATTTCTCTGTGGGTTGACCATGTATACTAAATTTTCTAGGTAGCCAGGTATCAAAATACTGCATCTGAAAGCTCTGAAGAATGGAAGGTGAGTAGAAACACGACTTTTTGAAATATTTTAATTTTAACATACTACTACTATAACCAAATTGACTCCATTGCAAATGTTAAAACTGCTAATGACTTAACAAGCCTGTAAAATATCCTAAGTTATAGGAAGTAAGAACTACAGTTTCTAGTTTATATAAGAAAGTAATGCTTTAAATCCAACCTAATAGTATAATTTGTAAGGAAGCATTTTTTCAGCTTTATTCTTGTAATGGATGTGTATAATACTGCAAAAGGATGAATGACAATGAACCAAGACTGTCCATGAGTGATTAGGACTCAAAATCTCCTTTAACAGGAGATGTCTGGTAGGCAGTGGTCAAGTCCTGGGAGGAAAGAAAAGAAAGAAGAATGAGAGGATACTAGTTTTTGGAATGATAGCTAATATCTATTGAGTGTTGACTCTCAATAACCCAATAGTTATTAACTCTCAATAACTCAAGAATCATTGCCAAGCACAGTTCTGAGAGCTTTACATGTATTAGCTTTCTTAATCTTCACAACCACCCAATGAATTAGGCATTATATTTTATTCCTATTTTACAGATGAGAAAACTGAGGCACAGATTGTAACCTAGTCTGTCTAGGTTATATGGTTAACAAGTGTTAGATCCAGGCTTTAAATTTATGTCACTCTGGCTCCAGAATCCATATCCTTAACGAGTGTGTTATATCCCTCTCACGAAGGGGCCAGGTCTAAAAGGTCAGTAAATTCTCAAGACTGGCACTAGAAGTAAGGGTTAAAATCTTATGCTAAGTCTACCTTGCTTCCTGCTGGCTTATGCATACGATACAGCTTGGGACCGATGCTTTTGGTGGTGACTAGGTAATGTCAGAGGCCTGAGGAGGGGTCCTGCCCCTGCCTAAGGCTGGAATAGACATTGTAGGTTTTACTATGAAATTTCATCAGAGATATCCATAGGCTGGTTAATGTAAAAGCAGCCTCTGTAGGTCTTCTCTCTCATTTAATCAGAGACATGCAATCACGCCATGTTCTCAAGTCTAGCGTTGGCATGAGAAAAACATCAGTGTCTTGCTCCCTTCCACATGTTTATTCCAAATGATAACTGACTGGAGTAGAGTCTGCCATTCTGCCTGCCATTGTGCCACAGGGCAAAGACCTAAAGTGATCACAGCTCCTTCCTCTGAGGAGATGCCCAGGCTAGCACTCTGAGAGGCGTGTTGAAGACACCCCGATAGCAGCTCCTCCCTGCTCTTCTTTGTGCCTTGAGTGTTCCACACAGGACCTTTGTCCTGCTCAAGGAGAAGGGGACAGTAGAAGAGTGGGGGTGGGGGGTGCTGGAGGGGGCACCAGAAGTTGCTCAGGTGTTCTTATAGTTCTGATGAGACGAGGACAAGCAAAATAAGAACTGTGACTAGTTAACTTTCAGATTTGCCATTTGTTTTTAATGCCAGTACTCTAACATGATTCAGGAAAGATTTAATGGCCTTCTCAATTCAGTTGTGTCTACTATTAAATTTTATAAGGTGGATGTTCTCAAAATGGATCATTTCCTTAGTTTATATCTTGAATAGTTCTAAAGATGCTTCCCCAGGCATTAGCCGATTTCATCCTCATTAGAAACCTTGTGAAGTAAGCACAGTAGATGAATTTATGAATGAGAAACCAACAGACAGTTGAAATGAATTGCACACATTCACATAGAATAACCACCATCCTGGTTTACCCAGGATTTAGGACTTTCCTGGAACATATGACTTTCACTGCTAACACCTAGATGGTTGGTTTTCAAGACTAAAACCAAAACCGATGAGTTAATTGGGACTTAGATCTGGATTCTGAGTTCCAGTGCTTTTTTCCTAGGTTGTTTGAACAGCCATCTTCAAATAAAGTCTATCTTTCTGTAAGTGTAGTATGAGAAATGTAAAAATCTTCTACGTCTTTTATATTCCAAGGGCTTTTCAGGCCGCTAGTCATTTTACCTTCCTTTTTTAGCCATTTCACCATAAAATTTCATTATGACTCATGTAAATGTGAGGTATATACCAAGATACTAAAAACATCACCTAAAATTATTCTAAATATTTGCAGTGACATAATCCATCCGTGAAGAAGTAACTTGTTTTTCTTCCTTTTTGCAGGGTCCTTTGGCTCAAGCACCAACACCACCGAAGGTAACTATCTCATTTATTTTTGCCGTAAACACCTCATGAAATAACTTTAACACTCTTCTCATCGCCTTGTACCATATTGAAAGTAGTAAATCCAAACCCACAAGCCATTGATGTATATCATATATTTTTCTTTCCTGAGTATCATTAAAAAGAAAAATAAACTTTTTTTTTTCTTTTCAGAAGAGCAGTGAGTCATCAGAAGAAAGTGAAGTTAGCTCAGAGGAACAGGTAATTAAACAGAACTTTCTTAACTTTTCAGGCCACTTAGGAATTGAAGGAAATGATGTTAGATTAAATTACCTGCCAACAGTTCTAAATATAACATTTTCTAACCATTGGTTATGCTGGCTAAATAGTCTCACAAAATAAGAAGGGAAAAATGAGTGGGGAGAATTCAGATGTGGACACGCTGTTCACTCCATTTTTATCCCTGAGGCCAAATTGTAAACATTGTGGCCCTAATTGTCCCTCCTAGTTAAAATGCACTTACACACACATGCACATGCACAAAAGGTCATTGACCATGTTAGAGAAATAATAGCTCACTCATCAATCTAAAATGTTTCTTTTACAATTGGAGTAGTTCAGATCAGGTGAGGAAAACTATTCTGGCTAACATGAAGACCTTTCCATGTGGAGAACCTGTTGGAGGAGAGGATAGGAGAACAACCTTTAATAACCTTTAACTTTTATAACAGTGATTTTTTAAAAATATAATAATGACTTTCTTTTTATAATAATCCCACCTGTGACCCTGACTTTCTTTTTATAATAATCCCATCTGTGACCCTGGAGACCTTTCCATGTCAAGAATCCTGTTGGAGGAGAGGATAGAAGAGCAACGTTTAGTGAAAACAGCTGTTTTAGGAATGACTTTCTCTTTATAATAATCCCATCTGTGACCCTGAAAGTAAGAAAGGCAGACTTAGCTTATATCTTTATTAAAAAACTAGCTTTTTTTTCACTTTTTAAGACTAAAAGTCATTATTTGTTTAGCTGTTCAATCATTTTGACCAAACTCAACCTTGTGGGGGCTCTAGTGATTCCAGGAACCAGTCTTTTCCCTGAAGCTTTGACCCATGTTGCATTCTACACTCAGCCAGAGTTGGAAGATGAATTATTAGGCTGTTTATCCCTATTTAATAAAGGTGCATCAGAGGAACATTCTAGAAATTTAAAAGCATAGAATTGGGGAAATGCTCCCTTCTGGGGACTTTGTGATTTGCAGCCTCAATGTTCTCTAAGTTCTAAGTAAGGGTATCAGTCCCTACTTGAGAAAGATGAAATGTGTGCTTGATGAGCTTTGGTAAGCTAAACCCACACTCAGTCTCACCACCCCAGTGTAAAACTCCAGCCCTGGGAAGAGGCATCAACATTGTATACTCCCAGATGGAAACTCAGACATTGATGAATAGGGACATCTGGAAAAAGAAGAAAAAAGTTGGTACGTGTGTTCTGTTGTAGGGCATGGTAAAGAGAGCAGATTTTTCCAGAGCATAATGTATGAAGACTCACTACCCTTCTCTTTTTGTGCAGAGCATCCTATTGTTTTACTTATGGGGATAATCTCTCTGACCTCAGGCTTAGGACTAAACTGACTTGGTGGTCACACTAGTTGCCACCTTCCAGCTGAGCTTTCTACAGGCAACTCTCTGCTTGTGCTAATGAGGTATAAACATGGCTAGGGTGAGGTATATACCTTACTATGATATTTTATTTTCATTTTACCTAAAGGTTCATCTTCCTGCTCTAATACATTTTTCTCCCTAAGGTCGATTAGGAAAAAAAAAAAAATTGGGTCATTTTAAGAGTACTCAATACTTTAAAATATTTTTTAAACCAAACAATTTGGTGTGTGAGCATTATAAACTAACTCTTTAATTCACAGAATATTTTCTCTGAGATTTCTTTAAGGAATCATGCTTTCAATATGATTTCAGTTTCATAAGTTTGATCTCTTTAAAGCTTTTTGAGAAATTTTTTGCAGCATTGAATGTCTGTGTAAATGGAATGACTTGAGTTCCAGCTCCTCTTCCTTCCTGTCTAAGCTCTGGTAGAGATGGTATTGAGCAGTAAAATTGGCTGTGGGTTGGAGGAGGGACATAGGAAGAAAGAAGCAGAAAGAGCCCAGACAGGTACTAGATAACTCCCACTCTGTCAGCTCCTGGAGTACTGACCATGTCTGTTAACCCCAAACTCCAGGCAAACAAAGGCCCCCGGGACAGCGCCGAGTCAGAGGAAGGCCTGGGCTCTGATGATCGCCAGTATGTTTATAGACCAGCTAGTGGCCTCTCTAGGAGTCCAGGAAAAGAAGGAGATTATAGAGATGATGATGAAGATGACAGTGGAGATGACACTTTTGGAGATGATGACAATGGCCCTGGGCCCCACGAGAGACAAGATGGAGGGCACTCCAGACTCAGCAGGGATGAGGATTCTGCTGACACCACACAATCCAGGGAAGATAGTGCCCCACGAGGAGAAGAACATACCCAAGATGACACTAATGAGAGCAGGGACCTTGACAATGAGGATGAAAGGGACAGCAGGCTCGAGGGAGGTGACTCCACTCAAGACAGCGAGAGCGAGGAGCAGTGGGTGGGTGGTGGCAGTGAGGGGGAGAACAGCCACGGGGATGGCTCTGAGTTCCACGATGACGAGATGTACAGTGATGATCCAGACAGCGTCAGGAGCGAGAGGGGCAACTCCAGGACCAACAGCAACGCCATCCAATCCAACGAGTCAAAAGGGCACCGTGAGCAAGCAAGCACCCGGGGTTCAGATGACAGCCAATCAGCGAGGAATCCCTGGAGAAAACCTGGGGGGAAGTCCCGCCTTCCTGAGGAGGATGATAGAGATGAGCTTCCGGGTAGCAACACCGTGGAGGAAGTCCAGAGCGAGTCGACGGAAAACACCGGCTCCAAAGAAGCCGGCCCTCACCTATCCAGGGAGGACAGGACTGAGTCGAAGGAAGACAGCGAGGAGAGTCGGTCCCAGGAGGACCGCCGGGATGTGGAGGACCCCAGCAGCGAGTCTAGTCAAGAGCACAGCAGTGAGTCTCAGCAGGAGGCAGTGAGTGAGTCCAGGGGCGATAATCCGGATCACACCACCAGCCACCCGGAAGGCCAGAAAGACAGTGACTCCAGCGAGGAGGACAGCCTGAATCCACACTCCAGTTCAGAAAGCGAATCCAGGGAGGGGCAAGCGGACAGTGAATCCAGCGAGAGCCTCGGTGACTCAGAGGAAAGCGCCGAGTCCACTGAGGGCGAGAGCAGTTCCAGCCAGGAGGGCGTCCAGTCTCGCAGCGTCTCAGCAGAGAGCCGGAGCGACCACAGCCGGTCTGATGAAGAGGAGGACAGCGACTCTCAGGACAGCAGCAGATCGAAAGAAGAGAGCAACTCGACTGAGAGCAAATCAAGTAGTGAGGAAGACGGCCAGGCACACAACATTGAGACAGAAAGCAGAAAATTAACCGTTGATGCTTATCACAACAAACCCATTGGAGATCAAGATGACAATGACTGCCAAGATGGCTATTAGCATCAGTTTTCCTAGGAAGTGGCTCTCACATAAAGGAGTCTTGGGGGCTGGAGAGTAGGGAAATCATTATAACTGTAATTTATGGATGTCTTGATCAGCAGGATAACCAGAGGCCATTTCTTTTGGAAAAGAATTGCTGGACATTACACTTTTTTCTAGCATGTTGCCATTTTACAGATAGTTAAGTAATGTGGAATGACATTATACTGAGCACACTTAATGAGACTGTAAGGAAGGACAGACGGGCAGTGTAGCTTCACATCTGAAATAGTCTCTAACTCATTAGCCTCACAAACAGTTATGAGGCTGTATTATGTGCCAGTCACTGTTCTGGGTGCTCAGATGTAAAGAAGCTTAAGACTTGCTTCTTGCTCCTGAGGAGCTTATAGAGAGATGCATAAAGCTGAAGAGTTAAAGAGGGATACATATGAGGGAAACAAGAATTGTTAAAATCCGATGTGTTGAATGCCATAATGGAGGTATGAACAAAATATATGGGAGCACAGAAGAGGGTGACCAACTTAGCCTTGGAAAATTAGGGAGGGTCTCACAGTGGAAAAGAGACTGGAGTTGGAGGATTGCATAGGATTTCTCCATTGAAGGCAAGAGAATTCTGTTTATTCTCGGGATAACAATGGGAAATCCTATGTGATTAAATATTTAGTTTGTGAAAGCACTTTGAAATTATGGCACAGTGAGGTGCTTTCGATATACCCTCCCCCCGTCCCGCCCCTAGTTAATTTATCCTATCCATTGTTTTCTGTAGAACTTCCATGAACAGGCCACACTGTTGATGGTATAAAGGATTGAGTGGGGGAAAGTAGGAGGAAGAAATCTCTTTTTATTTACATAGATAACTTTTAGCTTTATTTTTTCTGAAATTAGTTATGTGCAATGCTAGAAAAACTTCTCTGAGACCTTTACATATGTTGTACATAGCAAAATTCTGTACATAAAATTCAATTGATTTTTGCCAAGTGCCATTTGAAATGTTACCTCAACATAAAATATTTGTTTTGTAATAAAGATAACAATATCCAGAAGAAATATGTGCTTATTTATTATAGTGATATTGATTATTAGGATATATTTATGTTGAACAACTCTTCCTTTAAAACATTACCAACTAGTTTATTAGCTTTATTCCACTAAAATGAAATTATTTCATGAAAATCTTATTTGTAATTCAGGTAGCATTTTGATAGAATTACTTTATGTGTTGCTTATGATATATTTTTAAATATGCCTGTTATAGATGAGGGGAAAACATAAAGCCAACTCTCAACTTTTGTTTGAGGCCACAACAAAAGTTCATGATGTTCAGGTTCAATACTAGCTCTTGCTGGCCTTTCAGACTGTCATTTGTGCAAACTCCAGAAGCTACAGGGAAGCATACTCCTTACATTTTTATTTCTTTGGAGAAAACCACTTCTCGGCACTTAAAAAATGTGTTTTCACCCACACTTCCACTAGAGTACATCAGAATTCCCCTACAAATTCATTATGAGAATCAAGGAGACTTCTTAACCTTCACTCTGACTCTTGTCATCCTTACATTGTTCTGTTCCTTCACCAGGTCAAATCTGTGTTCATTGGGGAGATTATATATATATATATATACACTCTAATCCTCCTTGAGATTTTAATTTAGTAGGTTTGGAGTGAGATCCAGAGTTCTGTATTTTTAAAAAGGATCCCAGGAGATTCTGGTTTGTTTTGGAGGCTGGCCAGTAGGGGGATCTGAATCCGTAACCTAGGTGTTACAAGGCTGTGCTCTAACCAACTGAGCTAACTGGCCAGCCCCAGCAGATTCTGAAGGAGCCCTTGCATATACCTACATTTGGATTCTATGGCTCTTTGGATTGATTATCTGGCTCTATTAACCCACAGGTTTCTACCAACCAACAGCTCCTTCTGAGAAGAATTACCCCATGCTTGGACCTTCCAGGCACCTGAGGCATAGGTGACCAGGCCCCACCTGGCCCCATAGGTGACCAAATGCCCCACCTCACTATAGATGATTGGAGGGGATGAGCACCTGAGCCAAGGGGAGTCTGGCTAGCGGCCTCCAAGGAGCATGTTGCAAAGGCTCTGCCTACACACAAATGATGGTGGCTTCAGGTCTAATGTGATTGTCCCTCTCTGGAACCTTGAATATTTAGGGAGAGAGATGCCAAAAGTGGTCAGAACAAAATCAAAGGAAATACACAGAGAAACAGAAATAGAGAAAGGGCTAAACCCTATTAACGTGGAGCACAAACTGAGAATTTTTGAGCTCCTGATGCTGATCATCCTGCTTGCTTGCCCATCAGGCCTTCCTGGACTCTTGTGATGTTCCTTCTTCTTAAACACCACTTGTATCCTCAAAATACACTCACCTTTTTTTTTTTAGGCAACCTGAGTGAGTCTTTGTTCCTTGCAACCAAAAAATCTAATGAATCCAGACTTATAAACTTATGTATTGTTTGCCAGTGTTCTGAGGTCCTATAGCCCCTTAGCAAAGTTAACTCACAGGACTTTTAGAAGAAAGAATGATAACACGAATTTCAGCTATGTTCATGATAGAAATCCCTTAAGGTACATGTAGGAGGAGGATTTTCTTTGAAGTTTCCTTCAACTGATTTTATGTAGTACGTATACGCCTTGGTGCATCTCGTGATTGGAAGTGGTGTAGAAATATTATTCAAGCGTTAGAGTGTGGTGCTGATAACACCAAGATCCAGGTTTTTGATCCCTGCACTGGCCAGCTGCCCCCCCCCCCAAAAAAAAAATTCAAAAGAAAGCTGGACATGATCTTTAGCTCTGAAGTATAGAAGTTTCCTCATGGAGTTCCTCATAAGTCTATAGTGGTCCACTTGGGAATCCAAATCATAACTAGCAACCAATTTTTAACTTACAATGGGAAAGAATAAGAGTGAAAAGGCCATATGATGATCATAAATGAGAACAGAGGGAGCCGTGCAACACGAATGCTTAATAGCACTGGGTGAAAATAAGATGATGCCTCTAGGGTGCTCCATGGGAAACCTTACAGTTGGAACTGAAAAACTAGAAACCTGACTCCCTGTGCCCTGAAAAGTGCTCGAAAGGGTCATGATCAACTCTTGCCCAGTGGTCCTTAATAAGTAAAGTAGTACAGTCAAGTTGGTTTCTGTGGAGTCCTGCTGGCCTGGGACCCATAATGTCTTCTTCAATGATTTTGCATATGTATTTAGATCTTAAAAATTAGTTCTTAAATGACAATCTTACTTTATACCTCCTAGTTCTCCAGTGAGGTGGGCACTTCCTTGTGGCTCCCAGATAGATATAAACTGGTGGTTTTCAACCCTTACCATTGACTCATTGATACATTCAAACATTTATGGAACATACCTTAGGACCCAGGCATTAGATGTATACAAGGATGGATAAGATATGATTTCTTCCCTTAAGAAACTCATCATCTGTAGCAGAGGCAAGTACTCACAGTGATAGATGGTTAGAGCGGTGATAGGCTCTAACTGAAGTTCTATGGGTGTACATGGAAGGGAGTAATTAGGCTATTTAGGGAGTGGGGGAAGAGTTGGGACAAGTGGGGTGGATGTAAGGGAGGGAATAAGAAAAGAGGGGAGAAGCATGTTCCAAGCTGAGGAAACACAGAAGCAGATGTACAGAATTGTTTATGGCATGTTAAGGTATAAAACAAACAAACAAACAACAAAACTGGTGTCATGGAAGCATTAGGCAGAGAGGAAGAGGGAGGGGAAATGATACGGGGGGGGGCGTTGGAAAGGTGATTTGTGAAGGCCTCTGAATGCCACATTAAGGAGAACAGCCTTCATTTTTACTGAGTGCTTTCCTGGTGCCAGGTTTTCATACATGATATATTATACATGTCACAAACATCTTTAAGATAGATATCACAAACTTTCTACCCTTTTAAAAAATAAAGAGCAAATAAGGCCCAGAAAAGCTAAGTTAATTATCTCAGTTCAAAATTCAAGAGATAGCAGAGCCTGGATTCCATTTTTGTTCAATGACGAGTCACTGGACATTTTAAGCAGTAGAACAACATTTATGAATATGGCCATATTTACTTGAAATATAGGCAGGGGAAATGCTAAATTCTCAGCTTGCTCTCAGCACCTAAAGAACCCAAGAGCTTCTCAGCTCTTGTTTTCCTAGTCGTTCTGAGGTCCTATAGCCCCTTAGCAAAGTTAACTCACAGGACTTTTAGAAGAAAGAATGATAACACGAATTTCAGCTATGTTCATGATAGAAATCCCTTAAGGTACATGTAGGAGGAGGATTTTCTTTGAAGTTTCCTTCAACTGATTTTATGTAGTACGTATACGCCTTGGTGCATCTCGTGATTGGAAGTGGTGTAGAAATATTATTCAAGCGTTAGAGTGTGGTGCTGATAACACCAAGATCCAGGTTTTTGATCCCTGCACTGGCCAGCTGCCCCCCCCCCCAAAAAAAAAATTCAAAAGAAAGCTGGACATGATCTTTAGCTCTGAAGTATAGAAGTTTCCTCATGGAGTTCCTCATAAGTCTATAGTGGTCCACTTGGGAATCCAAATCATAACTACTTAATCCATGTCCTCACTAATGCATGTATATATGTATATTCAGAGAGTATGTGAATATAATTTTAATTACATAATACTTTAGGTCTCTCAAATGAAATACTGAGCAATCTTTATTTAATAATTGAAGAAAATGCATTCTTCAGTTGTGCTCTCATAATATTTTTATGCATACTCAGTAGGCTTTAAAATTATTTAGATAAAATTAATTTTTAGACTGTGAATTACCAATGTAGCATAGAAAAAATATACAAAAGATTCAATTAAAATGAATAAAATATTTAGCTTTTGCAAATATGGGTAATAAAGAAAATGTCCCAGCATATAAACTATCCCATGGTAATAAATGGAAGTTACACTGTTTCATGAACCTGCTAGATACCGTTTGGTAAATTACTACATCATGGATTAAAATTATTGTTCAGAACTTGA